AACAGCTTGCCTAGGATCGAAGTAAGACTAACTGGCCTATAGTTTCCTGGGTCCTCCTTCTTCCCCTTTTTGAAGATGGGAACCACGTTGGCCCTCTTCCAGTCCTCTGGCACCACACCAGAGCACCACGAGTGCTCGTAAAGCCGTGCCAGGGGTCCTGCAATGACCTCAGCCAATTCCTTTAGTACTCTAGGGTGGAGATCGTGGGAACCGGCTGACTTGAATATGTCCAGTCCCTCCAGAAGCTCCCTAACTAGTTCCTCACTAACCCTTGGCCCAGGTGTGCCTCCCTTGGGGCCTGAGGGGGGCCCAGCAGGGGGGTGGCTGTTCCGGTCCCTGCTTAGGAAGATGGAGGCAAAGAAACTGTTAAATATGTTGGCTTTATCGTCTGGTGTGACGACCAAATTTCTTAACGTGTCCTGCATGGGCCCCACATTACCCGGAACCTTTTTTTTACCCCCTATGTATTTAAAGAAGGACTTCTTACTGTCCTTAATCCAGGAAGCTAGTCCCAGTTCCATCTCTGCCTTGGCCTTCCTGACTGCCCCCCTACATCCCCAAGCAACTGTAGTAGCTCTGGCAAGAGGGAAGAACCTCTGGTGTAACTGCACCCCCAACACTGGTACATTTCTTAAATGTACATGGGATTTCAGTTTGCCCACACCAACTAAGGAATCAGTTGGTCAATGTATAAGAGAATAATAGAGTTGTATGGGTACTGTACAGAGTGGTATTCCTTTGTCATAGCTCACAGGACTAATTGGAACAGTTGACAGAATGCACGGACGTAAGAGTTTTAAATATTTTTTTTTATATTGCCTCACTTTAGGACATTCCAGGGACTGGACATAAATATCACCTTGAATTCACATTGAAAGACACTGTCCAGGAAGTGAGTTGTGTTTCATTTACTTACTTGGAATGCCAGTTCTTTGAAGGAACCATTTCTTCATTACATACAACTATAAAGGCTTATCATATCAAGAGATGAAAGTTGAGAAATGGTAGTTGGCCTAAGTCAAAGATGTTTTTTTGTCTCATTTGCTGCCCATCATGATGTAACACCTCCAAATTACAGAAGTGATGTTAGCGCTTTTCTGCGTTCATAAAATGTCCAATGCAGAAAACTGTAAAACTGATACAGTATGGTTTTTCTAAATACCAACTCCTGTCTTTTGTTTTTCTAGACTAAAGTTGGATTAAATCTGTAAAATTACTTCTGTAACAGGGTCATGCAGTTAACTGCACTGCTGAGGTTCTCTACCACCTGGGCAGCCAACACAGTGCTCCAGAAGTGCATTTCACAGTGGAAGGAGAACTTGGGAAGAACCCAGATGAAGCAGATAACAAGTTTTACAGCAGAATTAAGAGCCTGCAGGAGCCACTAGTTGCACAAAATATTCCAGGTACAAAGATGAAAGGAAATGGGTTTTGGAAGAAATGTCTGCCCTCCACAGTCAAGTTCTAGACAATGCCAGCTGCACTAAACTAATCTTAAAAAAAAAAAAAAA